GCTCTCAAGCTCCACGGCCCATGGCCTGCTCTCCGGGAGGAATCATAACCAGAATTGGTTGAGCATTGAAACCAGGATGAAGCAGCCTGCGACGGATCTCACGACCTTCTAGAAAAATAGTTTTAATCTGTAACTAACGCAGTCAGTATGCAATGAACAAACACGTACATAGATATCAAGTATTACATACACACAAGTCTATATACTTTCATCTTATCTTATTTATACTTGATTGCAAAAAACCAAGCCATGCGGTTCGGATAGATAACTCAATGCAGTTTTAACACAGCTCTTGATCAAAACACACTTAAGTATGTATACACAAAGTACAAGCATCTCGTGCCCACGAAGTACGCTCTCAAGCTCCACGGCCCATGGCCTGCTCCCCGGGAGGAATCATAACCAGAATTGGTTGAGCATTGAAACCAGGATGAAGCAGCCTGCGACGGATCTCACGACCTTCTTGGCAAAGGGCGCATGGATGGCAGAAAACATGAGTCGCAAAATCACAGGCGGTCTCACACTGTTCTTGTTGCACCTCATCTTCCACAAAGCTGCCACAGCATCCGCATGACCTATGAAGCGCCTCACAGCTACCCTGCTCATCACCAAAAACCATAAAACCACACATTCAAAACCTCTCCTCAATTCTCTTGTAAGAATATATAAAACAATGCCAAGTATTCACTATGTAAGGCTAACACAACAATGCCAAATATTCACCATGTACGGCTTTGAGACGGACAACTAAAGTAATGTGTGTGATGATTAGATTCATTGCAAAGCCATGCTAAAGAAAGGGACCATATAAAGTGTAACTGAATCAAAATCATATGCATTGCAAAATATTACAGACATACAAACATAACCAAAACTTAATCTATAAATCAAAACAATACGAAAACAGGCTAAGTTTATCTGAATCAAAACCATAAACATATTTTGGGAGGAAAAATATCACTTGCCTCTAGGTTGAACTTAAGGCGGATAGCAGTACGGCTAGGATATGAAAACCATGGTGCAAGGCAGTTCCAACCAAAAAAGGTATTTCCAATCAGATATAGACCAGAGTAAGACAAACAGTGATTTGCAAACGTCCCAGGAGTAGATCCAAGTCTCTCGACATTGCTTCCGTACAGCACACAAGGAGCCACACTTCCAAGAAGGCCTAACCAGATCACATCAACGTTAGTATGAAAAATGTCGATAACATGTAGGAAAGAACACTGACAAAACATATCTATAAAAAAAATATGATCTTATAATCCAGAAGACCTGATTTTCAAGTATTAACCAACTATTTATCCAACTATTTCATGCAAGTGCATAATTGTCATATTTTCCTGTGGGAAAAAAAAAGCTAGAAATTCCACTAAAGCAAAAGCTGAATGAACAAAGAGTCTTGTTTTTAACCACTCATGTTTTCTGAAATTTAGGGATAATGTGAATTTGAGTTTTGATAAAATGCTAAGTAGAAAACCTTACATTTATAAAAGAAGGGAAAGTACCAAAAGAAAATAAAAGACACTTCTAAAGACTATGGCTTACAGAAACTCAAAAGCCAAAACAGGTACAGGCATATGATGAATGAAAAATCATCCAGAACCCTGTGTTGGGTAAATCGATATATTCAAAAGCTATTGCCAATTGTGATCCAATCCAATACACATACCAAATTGCAGAATAGTACATCTAAAAACACATTTTGGACATTGGGTTCACGCTACCCCTTTGGTCAGTATAGTAAATCGATATATTCAAAAAGCTATTGCCAATTGTGATCCAATCCAATACGCATACCAAATTGCAGAATGGTACATCTAAAAACACGTTTTGGGCATTGGGTTCAGCCTACCCCTTGGGTCAGTATAGTAATCAACAAGATACATAATTATTCCAGAAAATGTGTAATATTCTTTTGTATTAATCATTATTAACGGCATGAAGGCGTAAACCGTACCAGCATTATATAATAACATAATACATCCATTCCAAACAATAAAGAAATACAGAGTCAAGATTAATCGATTTTGGATCCGGTAAAATTGAGAAGTATTGTTACAAAAAAAATATATGTCATAGTGCTATTCATTGCCACGATCGAGCAAATTTTACACCATTTCAAATGCACAAAGGCAATTAAATAGTCAATCACCTAAAATTCAATGAATCAGAGCTACTGAGGGCACAATAGAACATTGACATTCAAACATCGCATGATGCCAAAATCTTAATTGAAAAATAAAAAAGAAAACTTAACCGAAAAAGAAAATCAGAAAGAAAAACTTACAAACTTCAAGATCGCTGCTACAGAAATCATCATTACGGCCAAGACATGCAAGAAGGCTGGAGTCCCACTGGGCCCGGCCCATGGGCTCACCCATCACGCTCCCGTGCCCCAACGGCAGCCCGTCGGCGGTCCACCCGCAGCCATTACCACCGCCATTCACATGGCCCATCTCTGCCTGAGATTTCTCCGGCGATTGAGTCTCCGGCGAGGCCTTGGCGGGATTTTCGGCATCCTTCTGAGGCTCCTCGAATTGCTGGCTCAGAAGGGGGTTCGATTCCTCTTGGACGTTGCTCTCCCTGTTGTTGATCGCCATAATTGATCGCAGAGAGAAATCAGAAACCCTAAAATTTGAATCGCAGAGAGAGAGAGAGAGAGAGAGAGAGAGAGAGAGATTGAATTTTGAAACCCTAAAATTGGATCGAGAGAAATGAAAGGGGAAGAAAACGAGGTCTCTTTCTGTCTTAGAGTCGTTTGTAGCTTACAAGCAAACCGCGTTAACCGCGTAATCCATCAATAATTTACCCTCGGCCACGTCACACTCCAGTCAATGCCGTTTGGTAGTTCTAATCTGCCGCGGCACCTACTAGAGTAAAACATCTACTGCCGCTTTAGTTTCTCACCACGTGTACCATCTCACTTGCCTTTATTTGCCCTTTACTAGCGTGGCAACCAGCTATTTGCGGGCGGATAAAATCGTGATTTGGCATAATTTTCTCAGCGCTAGTGTTGTCTGCTTGCTTGGTTAAGTTAAAGGGTTTTTATTATTATTTATTTATTTAGATAATCCAAATTTTACAAACTTTGTATAAGCTCATGGTTACGTAGAATTTGACAATTTTAGTCCAATCCCACAATTTACCATTTGATATAGTTCCCTGTTATTCCCTTAAAACAATTGATCTGATGTGTTCTCTCTTGATAGATATCAAAAGACACATCTCTATATGTAGCTAAGTAAGAACATTCGCTATTTGACTGGTCTCCCTAGCCAAAACTTACCATTTTTGGCTCTTGTTACCCCCCATGAAATAAGAAGTTAAATAATTAACTGCTGGCATTTCCCTGTTAAGAAGTCCAACAACCGTAGAAGTCCATGGTAAAAAAAAACCCAATCAAATTAATCATTTTCTGCAATTAAAAGAGAATTTTTCTATTTAAACTCCGCACTTCTTTTTGTTCACCCCATATTTTAATTCAAATTTTCACAATTTTTAAGAAAAACCCACTATCTTCTCAAACTAACCCTAAATACACACCCAGCATAAGAAATTTTTTTTTTAAAAACTCGTCAACCTCATACCCCACAACCCGCACCCTACACTCGACACCTCGTTATCTTGTCCCTCACCACTCTTGTGGGAGCAAATATTTTCGTCTCCAATCTCTAAGTTCACCTCAACCTCACATTACTTAAAGAGATAACAACTTTGTTGTCAAATGTCTGAAATAAAAGAGCTTTGGAGAAGGAATTAATCATGGGAAATAAAGTTTGAGGAGAAGAAGAAAAGAGCTTTGGAGAAGAAAAAAGTCCCTTCCAAATGGGAGCAGAAACTAGAATATGCTACCAAGGCAAAAGCTGATGCTGACGTTGATAGCGATAGTGACACTGACAGCAATGATGGGAGAAGAAAGTTGAGTAAAAGAAGGGAGAAGAAACTTAATATGAAGAGTGATGGGGATGTGTACTAGGGTGAAGTATTACGTTGGATGATTTTTTTTGTCTTTTTACACAATAATAAAACTTAAGAGCTTAATAATTTAAATATTGGGGTGAAAAAAGAAAAGTGTGAGGTTTAAATAGAAAAACTCTAAAAAGAAAATGTGGCCCATTTTAGTCCAATCCCACATTTTGTTTATAGATCATCCAAATTTTACAAACTTTCTATAAGCTCATGGTTATGTAGAATTTGACCATTTTAGTCCAATCCCACAATTTACCAAAGAACTTTATAATTTGATTAGACGGAATGCATCAGATTTGTCAACTTAAATATAAACGTGATTAGTCCATGGCTTTTTTATAAAAAAAAATTAAAAAAAAACCAATCAAATTAATCATTTTCTGCAATAAAAAGAAAATGTGGCCCAATTTTATATAGGTTGAGAAAATTAATAAGGCATTAAATTTGGTTTCCCCAATAGCATCCAAGTGTTTAATCATAGTAATTATGTGTTACTATCATGCAGAAACATTGCCAAGCCACACTGCCACATTACATGTGTCTCTCACATGCATGTTTATGCAAATAAGAGAATATGAGAGATCCCACTGCCTTGGCATTTAGGGTTAAATAGAATTTCTGTTTAAAAAAATAAATTATAGAGCTGGTTCGAGTCGGTGGATAAGTTTTACTCATATACGTCGCACTGCTACTTAGATGGCTCTCTTTGTACTTTTTTAATTGATCTAATAAACTATTATCACTTTTTCTTTAAAAAAACACAAATTATAGAGGAAAAGAAGAAAGGTTTAAGATCATTATAGCAGCTGCTAAACATTATTCTTATAACATCAATTTTGAAGAAAATACACTCTTCCTAATGCAATTTACATTCTTTAATTCTTAAACCTGATTAAAGTAGCACTAATGGTAATTACATAGATATTGATCCAAACATAAAAGATCTCACTGCCCTCATTTACACAAGGCAATTAAAACATACAATGAATTAAAGATTGCTAATCAATCATTTATATATTAATTGATCCATCTCAACATGTTCTTAATTGATATATCTGTACTAAAAACTTTGACCAAAATTATCACTCTCACTGCCAGAGATCTTCATCCATGGATTTGCTTGGCCTGCAAAAGAAAATTACAAGCATAAACATCAATGCAAAAGTAACTAAGCACCTAATTAATCATTCAGTTTTAAAATTAGGGTTCAAGAACTTTTGAATGGAATTTTCCACTATAACAGCTGAACCCCAGTAATTTTCTTACCTTTCTTCCCATGCTAGAAGCCCTAGAGCTCTTAGGTTTAGGACTTGCCATGGCACTTTCTTTGTGGATCAAAGGGTTCCCATGAGAGTGATCAGGCGGTGGGATTGATGAGTGGGTCTCTGGACCTCTATAATCAATCTCATAAACCTCAGTACCCACTACATCTGATCCACCAACTAAAACCCAACAAAACAAAATTAACAAAAAAATTAATCAACTTAATTAAATATGGCCATATTAATCAACTTTGAATATAAATGATGAAGGCAGAACTTCAAACCTCTAGAAAAACAAGGTGTGGCAAGCAAGAAGAGAAGAAGGAAAGTGAGGATTGTAGGGTTCTTGAGCTCCATTTTCATGGCAATGAGGCTCAACGCAGACTCTGCAATAACCCAAATGAGCATTTCACATTTATATATAAAAAGGGTTCAAGAAAGAAGCAAGGCATGAGAGGTCGTTTATTTTATTTTATTTATAAATTAATTTGTATTTAATTATCGGCTTTTCTTTTCACAATTGAAACCATCATCACCATCCCACACAGCAATAAGTTGTGCGGTACCGATATGGATGTGTAGGGTTGGAAACATTAATGCTAGTGTTACTAGCATACCACATATGCATAGATTTTAATTTCTTTTCTCAGTTTATTTTATATTAATTTGGTGCTTTTTTGTATTTTTTTTAATTTTAATTTGATTTTTTTTCTTTCTTGGGACAAGTCCATGTGTGTATAATTGAAATGTCCTTATAGGGGACATCCCATTTAGCCCCCCATTGGCTGGACTTCATATTTCTCATAATTTCTTACATAAAAAAATCATTTGGGAAATGGGAAGTAAATTACAAAAACCCTTTTGCACATAATTTCTCAAATAATTTGTGTTTCTTTTTAATGGCAAGAAGCTTAGAGAAATGGTTTGGTGCAGCATTTGTCGATCAAACCAATCAACCTCATCACAGCTAGCAGACAATAGTTTGGCTTTTCATATTGACACAATGAGTAAGAAAAGAAAAATAATTTGGTCAAAGGAAGTTCAAGTCATTTTCATGATCAATAATTAGTTGCCCAAATAGGTTCAAAAAAATATGTAAATGAATGGATTTATAGCAAAAAAAGGAAAACCCTTAACTTATACCGGCTCTTTTTACTCTCATGTTACATAACATTCTACTGGCTGTTTGTGCCTTTATTTTAAAGAATAATGAAATTTTCTCTTGATTAACCAAAAAAAAAAAAAAAAA